ACAGGCGGCGCCGCAGCCACCTCAGCTGGGAACTGGGTATGCCGAGGACCTGGGGTGTCACGAGGTGAAGCTTGGCCCATTTATCCGGGACAACCGTCCTGCCAGGGAAGTTCTTCCTTCAGAACCATTTCAGGGGCTCCAGGGAGATGTGCGGCTCTCTGGACAGTCTGTGTTTCGGAGACAGGCCGGGAATGCCCGACACTGCCGCGCCGCAAGCGCCCGGCCTCGGCCTCGCAGCTCGGATGTCAACTGTAGCGTCACCTCCTCTGAAAGAGGTCTGGGGAATATCAGAGCACGTGAGCGTGGGGCGGCTTCAGCACGCGGAGTGGACGTGGGCGGGGAAGGACACCGTGCTCCAAGCGAGCACAGCCTGCGCCCGCGACGCGCGGGACAGCTATTTCTGTCGCCGAGCTCAGCTGCGGCCAGAAGGAGCGGGCGGAGGCTTGACGTACAAGGAGAGGAGACCACAAAGGAAACCTGAGGGTGCACCAGGATTTCTGAGGCAGGGAAGCGATTTCTGACTGACAGATGATTCACGCGGCTTCCCTCCCAGGGCAAGTTAAGTTCCCCCTGATCAGAGATGAGTGGAGAGAGATTCTCCAGAGGGGGGCCTGGGAGGGCCTCCTGGGTCTGGTCCTGGCCTCCCTGCCTGTGGCCCGGCCCTCGTGCCACCCTCCTGTGCCCCGTGGGAGAAGAGAGCCTCTTAGGGGCTGATGTGCCACCACCGGGCTCCCCCAGGGCCCTCCGGCCTCACCTCTCATCATTCTAGCCCTGCAGAAATCCCCACGCACAGACCACCAGGTTTCCAGAACAAGCCAAGCATCCGTAGGTGTCGGGCCTTTGTGGGGCTGTGGTCCCTGCCTGGAACACCCTGGCCTCTTGCCAGCTTGGCGAATGCTTCCAGAATTCTCTGGGCCCAATTCTGCCCCTTGGTGGTCAGGAGCACCCTGGCAGGTTACTCGGTGTTTCTGCGGCTCAGCTTCCTTAGCTGCTGGTTGGGAAGGTCCTGTTTGGCCTGGTGATCTGAAAGGGGTGCAGAGGGTCAAACTGGCTGGCAGAGCAAATGACAGAGGGAGAGGCTCAGAAAGAACAGGAGAGGTGACGAGAGTGACAACTAACAGGGCCTGAGCGCTGGCGCCGTGCCAAGTGCTGTGCCAGGGGCTCCACCTACACTGCCTGCTGAACCTTCCCGCAGACTCGGGGCAGACGAGCAGCTGGAGGGGCTGGGCGCGCAGTGTGGCGGCCTGCGCAGACTCCGGGTCGCGCAGCCTCGCGATCCCATCCTGGCTTGGCCGCATATCTGCTCTGGGACTCTGGGCACGTTCCTTAACTGCCCCCAGTTTCAGGAGCCTTGCGTAGGAATCGGGGGTGTGATGCCAGCTACTTCAAGGGTCGCTGCATGAAGCGACAGGGTGCGCGCTCAGCCCCGAGCCCAGCGAAGTGAACGGTGATTATGACGAACAATATGCTCACTGCACGGACCGGGAAACAGGCAGGGAGAGGGTAACAGGCTCTCGGGGTCGCACAGGTGGCGAGTGCTGGAGCGGAGGTTGAACCCTGGTCTGTTGGGCTTCAGAGCCAAAGCTCTCCACCGTTGCCTCCTGGGCTGGGGACCGGGACACGTGGATTCCAACTCCACTGACCCGCCGGGTGATGCGGGATGGCCCCTTGTCGTTTCTTGGCCTCAGAGTGAAGTGCGGGGCTGGACTAGGTGGCCTCCAAGGTCTGTGGATCCAGGCAGACGACACCCGCACGAGCTGTCCTTGCAAATACTCATCCATTTTTTTCCCTTTTTACATTTTTTAAAAATAAAAGGCCCCAGCTACCAGGAGGTCTGTGGATCAACACAGCCTGGATGGCCGAGGGTGGGGAGTTGCAGGAGAGCCCAGCTCGACAAGCTGAGGAGCGGCGAGAGGGGTGTTGGCCCTGGGACCAGCTCCTGCCTCTTGCTGCCTCAAGAACAGGAAAGTAGAAGGTGGAGGGATTGGTCCTGCCCTGAGACTCCTATCAATTCACATTCGCCCAGCCGTCCTTGCGCCTACCCACCGCTCCTCCCTCCCTCCCTCCCTCTTCCTGTCTCCCTCATCTCACTGACCACACATCTATACATTTATTCACCAATAAATCCACGTACCCCACCCATCTTCCCACTACTTCCCAACAGCCCGTGCCAGGGGACAAGGGGAGACTCAGCTCTGTCTCCTGCTCTTAAAGAGCCCACAGCCTCTATCCGACGACAAGACGAAGGAACTGGTGTCCTCGTGGAGGACAGTGTGTGACCCAGCCCTGCCCAGGTGCTTACTTTCCCAGGCCAGGCTCACTTAAAGCTGATGGGTACTGAAGCTGAGGGACGTGGCATGTCTTTCCTGCCCTGTCTCCTGTTGCATGGTTTTAGGATGTCCTCATCTAGATTTTCCAAATGGAGAGTGGCTGGGCTTCTGCCCTGAGCCAAGCAGCCCCAGCCTCTTCTCAGGCTTCACCGGGCCTAGAAAGGCAGCCCCGGAGAGCCCCGTTGCCCCACATGGCTGGCAAGCCCTGGCTGTGAATCGGACCCTCTGCACCCAGGCCCTCCTTCCCAAGACCAGCTAAAGGTGCTCCATGACCGGTTTTGGTGACCAGGAAGCTGGTCTGGGCAACCTGACTCGGCAGTTGGCTTTAGGGTATTCAGGGGTTGGCTTTGCGGCTAATTGGCTGTAAGGTGTTGGGCAAACACCCTTTCCCTCTCTAACCCGATGTCTCTGCTGTCGTTTATTTGATAGCCTCTGCATTGCTGCAAATGGATCCCTTGCAGGGGTGATTTGATTGCTGAAGAGCAACACCAGTAACACTGAGTACCGACTACGTGCCAGGCATGTGCTTTCCATTTAGTAACGCACTTTATCCTCACGGTAATCCTGTATAGCCCCCAGGAAACAGAGGCACCAAGAGGTTAAGTAACTTGTTTACATTCGCACGGCCAGTGAGGAATTTGAACCCAGGCCGTCTGGCTCCTGAGTTTTAACCACTTCCTAGTCATACAGGGGCTCTGCCGTGCCTCCCACACTGATGGCTGTCAGCCCCCAGCAAAGGGAACCATGTAGCCAGGGTACTTTCAGGAAAGACCCAGAAAGACAGGCATAGGTGTGCTAGGACGCCAGGGTTCAAGGCACAGAAGGGGACCGAGAAGTAAGTGACCTGGCCTGGGCTGTAAACCAAGGGCTCCAGTTCCCAGGGTCCTGGCCTCTCTCCAGCCTCAACAGGTGGGCTGGCTGACCCCTGTCTTTTATGCCACCTGGACACAGGCTCAATCCACCATCTGGAAATGAGATTTTAACTTGTCGCCGGTGCGACAAAGCACTGCTTAATCGAGACTTATCACTGCAGAGATGTTTCTGCAGCCCTCCTGGCAGATCCCAAGAACTCCTCTTGACTGTAACTGAATAACATCTCAATCCAAGCCCACCCCAAGGGCTGCGCCCACGTGGCTGTCCCCATTGCCTGAAGCCCATTCTGGGAATCGCCCTGTTCCCCTCTCTGCCACGCCTGCAGGACGAGATCGTCAGAGCATGTCAGTTATTTTAGGAAGGCCTGGGGAACAGAATAAAGCATCTTTGATCTCCCTTGATTCCCAAATCGGGGTTGGGGGTGGGGGAAGAAGACGAAAACGTCGTCATTCCTGGCATCACCCCCAGGGTGCTCGCTCACCGTCAGCTCGTGTTCCCCAACCTGCTTTCCCCCTTTGTCAATTCTGCCTCCCTCAGCCTGCTGCTCTGGCGTGACGCGGCGGCCGCTCTGCTGCAGCAGAGAGTGAGGAGCCTCCTCCACCTTCTTCTCCCACCAGCCCCTGGCCCTCTGCTGCTGACTCACGCTCTTTTCCCGTTTTGATAAAGCTGCTGGCGGCTCCCACAAACCCGACCTGATCTCGAAGGCTGCAGCTGGCTCTGGGATGTGGGGGGAGGTCAGGGCGTGGCATATTTGGAGGGTAAACATAAAGCTCAGTGGATCACCCAGAATCTCACAAGGCAGAAATGTCCTACATCTGGGAGCTGACAGACATGTGGACAGATGAACTCTGGGTTTCTCTTCATCCAAATGCTGGTTAATTACAAAGAGGAAACCTGTGCTTCCAAACCAAATAGGGATTACAACATGAAGAGTCTAGGCCGCTTAGCAGAGATAGTAAGGTGAGACTTTTTCTTATCAAAATGAGGAAGATTACTACTATTACTAACAATAATAACAACGTCAGTAGTAGATTGTGAAAAAGGCCACAGTTATTCCCCGCCCTGAATCCCAGCCCTTTGCAATACCTCCCATCAAGAGGTGGGGTCTGTTAACCCAGTATGTGAATCTGGGTTAGCCTCCTAACTTACGTTAGCCAAAAGAACACAGCAACACGCCAGTTCAGAGCCTAGGCCTCAAGAGACCTTGCGCACTTCTGCTCTCTTGGAATCCTGTTATCATCATGTCGACAAGCTCAGACTAGCTTGCTTGCAAGACCACGCAGAGGGGACATGAGCCAGCCCAACTGAGGCTATGCTGTATTAGCCCACAGTGCTGCCAAGATCAGCAGAGCTGTCCACCTGAACCACTGCAGATGCATGAGGCAGCCCAGCCGGGACCAGAAGAACCACCCAGCTGAACCCAGCTGAACTGCTGACTCACAGGATTTCGAGCTAAATACACAGTTTTACTTTGAGCCATTACGTGTTGGAATAGTTTGTTATGTAGCAAAAGCTAACTAATAAAAAAAAATTGTGTGTGTGTGGGGGAGGGCCAATGACAGGATCTAAAAAACACAATTAACGACAATCTTTTTTTTTTTTGGTCACACAAATGTCATAGCAATGTTAATAGAATACTATCTCAAAGAGGAACAAATTGCTTACTATCTAACCATACCAACACGTATCAGCAGGATTTGAAAATACGAATCACATTTCTCCACCTGCCCCAGTGCTTCTGCATCCTCCCCTGGATGTTGCTCCCTCTGGTGGAGGACGTGCCTGGCACCCCCTTACCAGAATCTTGGTGGTGTAGGCGCTGTTGATGGCGATGGCGTTGACCAGCAGCTCCATGGTCTTGTCATTGATGGAGCTGGGGTCAGGGATCTCCTTGTAGTGGACGTCACCGACATAGGCCTGCACCACGGTCATGCGATTGGTGGTCAGCGTGCCCGTCTTGTCCGAGCAGATGGCCGTGGCGTTGCCCATGGTCTCACAGGCATCCAGGTGACGTACCAGGTTGTTGTCCTTCATCATTTTCTGGGAGAAGGAGCAGGTGAGAGGGCAACAGTGAGGAGAGGGAGCTGGGGAACCAGCAGTACCTGGGGACACTGGGTAAATACGCAGTCAATGAGGCAGAGATGCCACAGCCTGCCCTTTGCTTCCTGTGTCTGTGAAGGATCTTGGCCGCTGCAGCCTCTGACGCCTGGGCTCCTTTCTCTTTAATTATCTGAGCCATTTAAAAGGCTTGATTAATTGAGTTTATCAATTTGGATTACAGAAGTAATCTACATTCTTTATGGAAAAAATAAGGGAAAAGAGAATAAATAAATTCAGGTTAGGTCCTCTCTGATTTACTTCAAATATTTCTCTCTTACAGCCTAATGTAAATATTCCTTATTTTGTTATAGATTTTCTTAAATGCATCATCTTTTAATGGTGCCTTGTTTTCATCATCTCTTTAATTTCAACAAAAGTAAATAAATTGAGGATATAAATAAATCTAGAATATAAGAAACTATCTGGGAAAATATCAAAGTATTAATGTCATTATCTCTAGGCAATAGAATTGCAGATTTTCACGATCTTCTTTTAAAGATCTATAGATTTTTCGAAGTGTGATGTAGGTTGATAAAAAATAAAGATCTACAGTATTTATTATATTTTTTCTATAATAAATACGTATTATAACTTGCATAATAAAAACCAAAAATATCTTTTAAATGTAGATACACTAGAAGGAAAAAGAAAACCATAAGCTACCACTTAGAACTGATACATCTTATACATCAACATCCTTTCTTTCAAAATTTATGACAAAAATGGAACCCTCTTATGCTCTTTATCTTCTTCTATATGCCCTCCTTTTTCTCGCTGGCCCAGCACCACGCCCATGGCTTTTTCTAGGTTCTCAAGCAAATAATGCAAATAAAGTAATTCTCAAGGAATCACGATTCTTCTCGCAGGCTCTCCTGACAGAGTGGCTGAATCAGACGGAGTTCCAGCCTGCGCACGGGAATTTGATTTCCTTTATTCTTGCTCCTATTATACCCTTTTATAACAAGGGTAAAAAAGGAGCGTGGTTAGAATAATTTTAATACAAGCTTATGTTACTATAAAACAAGTACTGGTAGGATTTTCTGCTATTGCTGTTCCTTGTATTATAAACTTGTGAATATAGTAACAATAAATGTATGTTGAATGGACCACTAACAGCAACTCAAATTTGCAACACACTTTACAGTTTGCAAAGCCCTTCTGAATTTGCTTTCTTGTCTGATGTTGTAAGAACGCTGTGAGACTTGAGAGGGTTCTGGTAATGCATTTTGGCAATCGAAGAAACCTAGGCCAAGTGAGTAGACTAGGATCACACACCTGGTGGGGTTTAAAGCTGGGATTTGAACCCAGCTCTGTTTAACCTCACAGCCCGGATCACTCCTTCGGGCCTTAGCCCATCTGCACCCTCTGAAGAGGGTTGTCTGTTGGGCTCAAGAATCTCTAAGTCTGCTGTGTCCAATGCAGTAGTCACGGGTGGCTGCTGCATGCACGAAGTGAAACGTGCTGTGGGTACAAAATACACCTCAGGTGTTATGAAAAAAGAAACACAAAAGAGATATCTCATTAATAATTTTTATATTGATTACATGTTGGATTGATAATAATTTGGACATATTAAGTAAATTATATCATTAAAATTAACTTTGCCCATTTTTTTTACCTTTTTTTGGTAATGTGGCTGCAAGGAAATTTCAAATTACACATGTGGGTCACATTGCGTCTCTGCTGAGCCCTGGTCAGTCACCTCTGTGCTCTTGATGGTGGCTCCCAGGCCCTGGCTCAGAGAGGGCGCAGTCTGCCCTCCTGGGTTGGGCGCTCTAAGTTGATCCAGTGACTGCACAAGTAACAGCTGAGACGACTGAAGGCGCCACTGCCAGAGACACGAGCCGCAGAAGGTGCAGGGGCCTGACACCGTCGGCACAGGAGCCCCAGACCAGCGCTGCGCAACTTTCAGAGACCCCAAGCTCAGCGGGGTGGCTGTGGGGCCCCTTACTCACGGCCTTGTAAGAGTCACCCTCTCCCGGCCCCAGGCCCCCAAGAACATTGTGTTGTGACCTGTTTGGGCTCTGGTTTGTGGGACAGAGTTTCTTCGAGAACCCTAAAACAGGGAGCTGATAAGGGCCGTATCCTTTACGCAGAGCCGCCACTTTCTGGCACGCACCCAGAGATCTCTTTTCTGTATGAAATTACATCGGCGGGCCCAACCCAAATTGCAGCTTGGAAACTGATGCTCACCGTGCCCTCCTGTGGCTCTGCCAATTTCTCAGAGTGAAGGCCCTGTTTCTAAACATGACCATGCCTCCGCCCTCGCGGACATCCCAGCATTGGGGCACTGGGAGGCAGGAACCCAGGGCCTGACCCTTTGAGGAGGAAAAACCACAGGGCAAAGGGAAGAAAAGGAGACTGGGGCGTGAGAACCTGGAGGTGACCCAAGGAGGGTCAGACTTGTAGCATTTGGGCTGCACAAACAGCCGCAGCCCATGCACAGGTGGAGGTGCGGCTCTACTATCAGGGTGGCACTTAGGGTTACCCCCAGATCAAGCTTTCCCAGCGAGCATTCATGACCTCAATCCTTCACTTAATTGCTTTTAAAACCTCTTATATTTTCAGGCCATCTCTCTAGGGGAGGAGGCTTCCATAAAATCAAACTTCTTTTTCATTTTTGGCTTACCTCTCCCAGCCTAGGGAGCGAGCCCTGAGGTTAGTTTTAGAAGTCGCTTGGCTACCCATGAGGCCTGTAATGGCGACTATCAGACTTCTGCCTAAATTCGGTGGGGTGAGCATAAGTTTTGGCCTGCACAGTGATGTCTCTTTCATTTTTTAAAAAGCATTTTATTTTTTTAAAGCTGAGTTGACTGCCAATGTCTAAAAATTGAGAGAGTTTACATTAAAACCAGACTTCTGGCTTTTCTAAAAAACGTGCAGATCTGGCCTGCATGCCCACAAAGTGGCACTTGGCTGGGCTGAATAACGTGCCCCTTTAGCCAGGGTCTGGCTCTCTGGTTTGCCACAGAGAGGTGTTGGAGTTTTGGGGTCCTGCATACATCCTCTCTCCGAGCTACCAGTGGGCTCACAGGCTTCTTCTTAGCTCATCTCCCAGTCCCAGTGCCAGCCCCACTGGCCCCCCAGGCCCCCAGCAGGGCTGCATCTGCGGCTGGCCCTGCTCTCCTCCCCCTCACCTTCACCGAGTAGGCCAGCGAGATGGTGACTGCCAGAGGGAGCCCCTCGGGCACAGCGACCACCAGCACCGTCACGCCGATGATGAAGAATTTGACGAAGTACTGCACGTAGACAGGTGTGCACTCGGGCAGCCATGGCTTCTTGTTGACCACGAAGGTGTCCACGGTGAAGTAGAGCACCAGGATGATCACCGTGATGGCCGACATCACCAAGCCTGCAACACGGGCACGCGTGTTCAGGGCGTGCTAGGGCTGGGAGGCTCTTGGGAGTGAGTGCGGACTAGACCCTCAGCCGAAAGGGCTCCGGGGTCAGGCAGACCCCAGTTCACCTGCCAGCTCCGCCATTTCCTCGCTCGGTGACTCGGGGCAAGTCCTTGATTCTCACTGGGCCTCAGTGTCCCAGTCCGTCCGAGGGGGATGCACACTCCCCCCACAGGGAAGGCTCTGATGTGTGATGCACGTGAGATGCTAGCGCAGCGCCCGCACGTCGCAGGCACTCAACAAGCGTGTGCGGGCGACTGCGCGGGGAAACAAAGGGCTGTTTGCACAGGGCCTTCGAACTGGAGTAACGTCATGTTGGTGTCGCTGACGTACTCATTCATCGACAGATACCTTTTGAGCACCTACGATGTGCCAGGCACATGGTAGCTCCTAGTCAAGGACGAAGGGACACAGCAGTAAAGAAGGCAGAGTTCCTGCCCTGGGGGGCTGACACCCCAGAGGGGAGGAAGACAAGACACGAATAAACAAGGATATGTGCTGTGAAGAAAACTGCCAGGGCGGCGTGGTAGGAAGTGACAAGGGGTGGCAGGGAGTGGCTACTTTAGCTAGGGTGGCCAGGGAAGGCTTCTTGGAGGAGGTGATATTTGAGCAGATACCAGAATAATGAGGGGAGCAGCCACATGGTGACCTGGGGGACAGCGTCCCAGGTAGAGGAAACGATGGGTGGCCATTTTTTTGGGTGAGGAACCTGAGACTCAGAGAAGGGAGGTGACTTGCCCATGGCTGCAAGCTGAGGAGACGCTGTAGCTGTAGGAATGCAGCTGGGGACCCGTCCAGATCCCCTGGGGTTCCTCTTGCTGGTCGGGCATGCCCACCCCCCATGGCTGCAGGTGCTGCCACAGGTGCTGTGGAGACTGCTCGCATCTGCAGCTTCTGCCAGACGAGGAGCCCCTTGGGGCGACTGGAGTCCCCTTGCTGGGAAGCACCTGGAAATACAACTTGCCCCAACCCGATGGCCAATACCCAGCGGCTGATGTGGGGGTCCCGAAGCCTAGCCGCCTGCTGCGAGGTGGGACAGGCTCCCCCGGGACCAGGCGAGATAGAGAGTTCTCCGGAAATCTCAGCTGTGTCTGGCTTCTCCCCTGGCCTTTCCCTGCACCCCCTACCCCTGCAGGTCTCACCTGAGAGCGCCATATCCGTAAGTCCCTCGCCCACCCATCTCAGCTCTACCTCCAGGGAATTCAGCCCGAGAGGCAGAGTGGATCATGAAGCCAGGACTGCTTGCCTGGGAACTCCATTTTCGGCAGGCCTGGGGTTGTGGGAAGGCGGGAGGGAGGACTTAGGAGGTCACGGGGTTGTTCTCATCGCTTAGTTCCCTGCCCCGCTGGTGCCATGTTTCCATGGGGCCTTCTGCCTGTGATGGTGGCAATGGCAGGGATGGAGGAAATCCCTGGGCCCACTACTCCCCACCCCCACCTCCAGCTGCAGCACTGCAGAGCCAGCTCTGTCCCTGTCTGACAGTTGCAGGGGCGGGAAGCCAAGCTCCCAGCAGCCGGAGCCATCCCCAGGCCCCTGGCTTTAAATATAGACAGCCAAGCCTATAATTTGCCTCCCGTCCCCAGGCTGTGTGTCTATAGTTAGAGCCGGGAGACAGCCACGGATGGAGCAGCCAGGTGGGGAGGCCTTGGCGTTTGCCACATGGTTGCCCAGAAGGGGAAGCCAAGACCATGTCAGAGGGTCAGGGCTCACCTTGCAGCTGGGCTTGGCTTCCTGGGCCAGAGGGGCTGTCCCCAGCCATCACCTGCCACTACCACTGCGACTGGGAAGCCCGGCTTGTGTTGGGGCTCAGACAATGGGCTTCTCCCTGGGCTGCTGGCACTGTCTGGAACCTCTTCAATCTCTCGTCTGCACTGCAGCCAGGGTGGACATTATGAAGCCCAAATCCATCCCTGCCCTCCCCTGCTCAAACCTTTTCCATAGCTCCCACTGTCCTCGGGATAAAGTCCATGCTGCCTAGAGCTTCAGGCCCTGAAGGCCCTGTCCCCTCTCTAGCCACTGCACATGCCCAGTGCTCGGTGCTCAGTGTTCTGTATATACCATCTCCTTTAATCCTCGTGCAGCCTGTGACGTAGGGACAACCATTATCCCCATTTTACAAAGAGACAGCGGCTCAGAGCTAGGTGAAGTTACTTTCCCGAGTTTTCACAGCTGTTGCTAGACAGGAATGCAGTCAGTCTGCCACCAGAGCCCAGGCTTTGAGCTTCATCTTACGCCTTGCTAAGTGCTAATTGAGTGCCTACTGTATACAGGACTCAAACTGGTTGCTACGGTAGAAAAGGGAGGGCCTCAGGGCCCCCCCTCATTCAAGCCCCCCACATTGCAGATGAGGTGGCTGAGGCCCACATGGGGCAGGGCTCTGCCTGGGTCCCACTATGTGTCCTGTGTCCCCCCCCGACCCCGCACACTCACCTGCCTTGCCGATCTGCACAGCCAGCTTGGTGAGCTTGCCCTGCAGCACGGACTTCTCCTTCTTGTGCATGTTGGCCTTCTTCTTGTCGTCGGCGTCCCCGCCCTCGGCACTCTTGAGGGGCTGCATCTCCATGGCGGCCGCCCCATCCTGCTGCTTGGCTGCGGGGGGCAGAGCAGGCACGGGCACACACACAGACACATGCGCAGGTCAGCCTGCAGGGTGGGGGTGTGGCGCCCACCCCCGCCTGCCCCGCATGGCTGGCGCAGAAGCCCTGTGGTGGGGGCTGCCTCCTCCAGCGGGAGCCTCTGGATGCCAGCGGCACTCCCTGCCTCGGACCTGGAATCTGGGCCACCGCAGGGACTGACACGGCTCCTCCCTGGATTCCCAGCAGTAGCGGGCTGGGGGCCCCTCTGGACCTGAAGCAGCCCACGGATGCTACCCCAAATGGCCCCTTGGCCTTTCCCACATTCGGACAGGACAGGCAGGCTTGGGCTTTACCCAGCCGGCCCTTGGGCCATGCTGTTGAGATATCAAGTAGCCACCAAACAGGAGGAACAAAAAGGAGGCTTAAAAGGTACAAGAGGTTTCTCCCCATCCATGGGTGCCAAGTCCTGTCCCCAGTCAGCGTGGCCTCTTCAGGCAGGACTGACTGGAGGGGCTGTGGCCCTTCCGGATGGAGACTGAGCCAAACTCCCTCCCTCTTGGCCTCTAAGGATCTCAAAGTCCTCAGCTGAATGGGCAGCAGCACTCAAAGGCTGGGGAGACGCGGGCCCGCGGGCGTCCCCTCTCCTCACTGGTGGACACCACTTTATTTGGCCTGGCACCATGCAGATCACCGCTACACCCCCGAAGTCAGCGGACACCCGCAAGTGTGGACTGTCTGCCTCTGGCCCCGCCAGTCCCTGCCTCTGGTGTGACTCTCAGAACCATGGGGAGGGGCTGCAGGGAGCACAAAAGCCGGTGAATGGGAGAGGGTTACCTTTGCTCTGGCTGGAGTCCACATTGCCATCCTGCATCTTACCTACACGACAGAGAATTTTAACAGACAACAGAGAACAGACAGCACACGGTCGGTCATCACGGAGACACAAGAGGCCACAGACACTCACGGCACAGATGGAGGAAGGGCCGTGCTGACTCTGTCCCTCCGTACAGGGAACAGGGACACTGGGGAGGCCCCGGCACAAGAGCAAGCCTGGCCACCGCCTCAGCTGCGCCAGTCCCAGCAACTCCGGACTCTCCAGGGGGCTTGGCAGAGGGTTTCTGTTGGATAACTGTGGCCCTGAGCGCTTTCTAGATGAGAGGACAGAATTTGAGGGTAAAAGGGACCAGAGTCTCCTGGCAGGAGGGAGAGGAGAGCCTTTTAGGACTGATCTGGTTGGCGCATTTTAGGGGCTGAGAGAAGGTAAAGGGAAACTTGTTCAGCTTTTCGTTTTTCCATAAAGGAAAAGACGCAAACACAACGAGAGAGAGAGAGAGAGAGAGAGAGAGAGAGAGAGAGAAGGCGGGTGGAGAGAGAGAGATACAGAGGGCAGGGGAAGGGGGCAGTTTCTAGAATGGAGGGGTCAATGTGGTCCTTAGTTTCTGGCTCTAGAGGACGATTCTACTTTCTCCTTCTTCCTCTGAAGGGTGCGAAGCCATGGCAGGGATGACCCTGCCCCACACCCCCGAGAGTGACCAGGGCACAGAGTGAGCAGGGGGTCCCAGTGGTGGTGTCTGAGGGGCTCTGAGTGTGTCCAGGGGCTTCGTGGAGGTGCCCTGGTTCCCAAGGGGGGGCCGTCGACCCGTGGGTAGGAATGTGTGTTCTTACTCTGTGCCTTGGGCCGCAGCAGACAGGCTGAGCAGGGTCCGAGGGCTCTCCTGGGCGCCCCCCAGCAGGACCCGATGCTGCCTCGTCTGGGAAAGGGCTGAATGTGGGGCTCCCCAGCCCCTCGTCAGGGCTGCCCTGGAGGCCCTGCCCCAGCCCTGGCCAGAGGCTTGTGGCCTGTGTTCCCAGTGTGGGGACTGGTGGCTGCTGCCTCTCATCTAAGACGCCTGCCTTTACCTGCACCTTCCTGTCCACTGGGCCCGCACGCTCACCCAGAGCTCTGCCTGTGGGCCTCACCCCCTTGGGAGGGGTCTGAGAGGGTCGGTCACCCTTGGGTGTTTGCCATGAAGGTCATTGTCATAGTTCACGTTCTCCGAGAGCCCAACGCATGCCGGGTGCACACGGGCCCCACGGTTCCATCCAATCCTCACCACAGCCTCACCTACGAAGGGTGCTCTCATATTATACCCATTTACAGATGAGAAACTGAGGCCCCGAGCCTCAATAGGTAAATGGATAGCTGGCTCCAAAGTGCGTGCACGCTTCCGCCCAGCCGTCGCCTCCCCGGAAGCCAAGTCGGGAGACCACAGCTGCCCCTCACTCTCTGTGAGCCCAGGGCAGTGGAATTAGGAGGCATTGCTGGGACTGGATTCCCGAAGCTCCCGTTTTGCCGCCAGCAAGCTGTGTAGCTTTACCTCTCCCAGCCTCAGTTTCCACATCCATAAAATGGGATGAGACATTCACCTCCCAGAGAGCCCCAAAGTTACCTTAATATTAGCCACTTGCAGGGTTCAGCCTTTTGAAGTTTCAAAGGGCTTTTGCAAGTGTCATCTCTTGTCAGTCTCCCAGTGTCCTGCAAGCTAGGGGAGGAGGGATTTTCATCGCTCTCATTTTATGGAGGAGGAAACTGAGGCCAAGGGAGGCTCACAGGCAGCCTGCATTTATGGAGCACCCCCAGAACGACCCTGCGTGATTAGTTCCTCACTGTCACTGTACCCACCCCATGGTGACTCAGAGGGGACAAGTGGCTTCCCTGGGCCCCGCCCAACACTGTCTATCCAAGTGTAAGTGCAGCTTACGTAAGGCCGCTCCCACGGCCTCCCACAGCACAGGGCCAGTGGCCCACTGTGGGCCTTAAAGAGAAAGGCCCTCGGGGCTCTATTGTAAAACTCTCTCTACTGGATTAAAAAACATGAGAGAAAAAAGCTTTTTAGAGCAAACAGGAATGAACAATTATTTTTATTTTCTAAAATAATTTTACTAACTGGGCTGGGGGCACCAGAGGACTCTGCTTCAATAGTTGGTTTTAGGAGGCTCAAAGGGCCCTTTATTTGCATTGCATATTATCACATGCAAGAGCGGGTGTGGGTGCTCATTAAGCCAAGCTAGCAATTTCCTCTTTTATTTCCATAGTGACCACGTGGCCAGAAAAATAATCACCAATGCACATGTTGGAGGAAGGGAGCCACGTTCTGGGAGAGCTTTGGAGCAGATGGCCTGGTTTCTCAGCAGCAAGGGGATTTTTTGGGGCTCTCCTCAGTCAAATTTGTGCTCGCCTGGCCATGGACTATGTTGGGACAGCCAGCTCTGGCTCCACGTGGGGCCTGGAGGATGGGCTATATTTCGGGGGAGCTGGGGATGGGATCCAAGAAGGGGCACCAGGGCGGAGTCTTGGAGGCTCTTCTCTGCATCCGATGCCAGATGAGGCTTTTCCAAATGGGTCTCTTCTCTTGGTGCCCCATGAGGGACATGAGTGTGAAGAGCATAAATCTGGAGGACTCCTGGTGGGTGACCTGATACACAAGCTTTGGGGAGACCTGGGAAATATCACTCCTCTTCCCTGTGCCTCCATTTCCTTCTCTGTGGAATGGGCTGATGTCAGCCAAGGCAACGTTTACGAAACGCACCTACAAAGTGCTGTGTAAACTTCAGGGGTTAACGGGGATGTATAATTAATCGTGATGGTAACTGTGATTATAGGTGATGTATTAACAAGCATAAAAGGAAATGATAAAATAATAATGGCAATCATAATGCCTCCGAGATAGATGGAGCACACCCACCTTTCAGCTGGGGGCCTGGCGAGCGGGGTCAAGGGGGATGTTGCCGCCCCCAATTTTTCCCCACATGCAAGTCATTGCAGTTGGGAGGCTTGGAGGAAGGAAGGGAGGCTCGGAGGAAGGAGGGGAAGAACAGTTAATTCCCCCTCACTGAGGCTCAGGCCTCGCTTGGAGTCTGGAAAGTTTGTTCAAATGGAGACCCTCGCTCAGTTGGTCTGGGTGGGCCCCGAAATTCTGCACTTATAATAAGCTCCCCAGTGACGCTCGGGCTTCGGGTCTTTGATCACACTTTGAATAGCAATGGCTTAGAGCACTGTTTCCCGAGTACATTATGGGGTGTGCCGATCCCGCAGGATTCAGCCAGGAAAGGCCTGGGAAACCCTGTATATAACTCTTCACTACACACCAGCATATTCAAAGCTCTGAGAACTCCTCTAAATAGGAAGAAACCAACTCAATCCAGTGGTCCCTAAACATCTTTGGCCACGGGATCCTTTTCTTGGGGGGACCTCTTAACATCCTTGTGAAACTTACAAGACACACTCCATTGAGAAATCCTGCATCAGGAGGAGGAGCACAGCACACACTTTAGAGCCAGCCAGGTCTGGGTTCCAGCTCTGTGACCCTGGGCTAGCGTCTTGATCTCCTTGAGCCTCAGTCTCCTCATCTTTAAAGTGGGGACAATAAAACCTGCATCACGGGGTTGTCAGGAGGATTAGATGAGATGGGGAACATGAAATGCTTGCAACAGTGCCTGGTGCACAGCAGTGGTCAAGAAATGAAAGTTCCCCATCTTTCCTGCAGTTTTTCCTGGGACATTTGGTGGTTTCTCCTGCGGTGTGGAAGTGAAACTGCCCTTTTCTCTGGAACTGGCAGCCTGGAGGGGTCTGTATGTTCACAGAGCCCAGCGGGCTCATCACCTGGGGGAAAGGGGTGCCACCTCCTGGTTTCTTCTCCCCCAGTAGTGGGTTTGCCCGCGTTGGTTCTCCCTGTCACCCCTTAGCCACCTCTCCCTGACACATGACACCTCCCACTCCCCAAGCTGTCCTCCTTCCTCCTCCTGGGCCTGAAATAGACCCACACCTGAATTAGCCCTTCTTGGCAAGGTCCTGCTGGCAAAAGTGCCTTGCCCGGGCCCAGAAATCTACTAGGCGCTTCCATCCCTGGTTACTTTGAATGCAGGTGGCTTGGCCAGAAGTCTGGAGCAGGGATGGGAGGATGGGGGAACCAGTCTCCACGTTTTGCAGGACCGGTGAGGAGTAAATGGTATGGGTAAGAAACCCGTGGCCCAGGGCCTGGTACGCAGCGGTGCTGCAACAGAGACTTTCCCCTTCCTTTGGCTTCTCTGGTGCAAGGTTTTCATGACCGAGCCCTGATGGCTCCCAGCAGTTCAGAAGTAGCCTGGGTGACGACTGTGTTACCTATTTGGGGACAGGGGCTGTGTCTGAGTAAACAGAAGCCTCATCTGTTGCTCTGAAGTTGGGAGAGGATAGAAATCCGCAATCTTCTAGAGGCTTGGAGGCCAGCGACGGGAATTACCTCCTGGCCGTGCGTGAAGAGGCTGAAGAGCAGACCCCGGTACACAGAGGCAGCGCCTCCCCGCATCCCCAGGGGCCAGTCGGAACGCAGAGACCCAGGACAAAGGCTCCAGCACAAGCACAGCAAGAAACACCTGTCTATGTCCGAGGGACAGAACTAGGCCCGGGCCCAAGCCACCCCCTGCCCGTTTGCTCCGTGAAAGAGGAGAGGAGAAATGTCTACTGGTGGCTCAGCCATGCTAGGGGGCAGGGCCAAGGAGCTGAACCTGGCCTGGGTCCCCCTCCCTCGAGGGCATTTTAGAGTCAAGGACTGGAGCCTCTTCTGGGGACCCAGATGTCAGATTCAGCCCAGGTCCTGACCCCAGGCCTTCTTCCCAAAGCCAGGGCCAGGATGCACTTAGGAGAGGGCCACGCCAGGTGGGATACCACTGCTCCCTGGGGGCCAGATCTGAAGCCAAAGTCATGTCCCTCTTCTGGGCCCCACTGGGGGGCAAGGGCCATGGGGGCCAGTGCCTTTTTGGCAGCCGCAAGTGGGCGTGGAGTTGACTCCGCAGTGTGGCTCCTCTTAAGCGCTGGCCCTGCGTGAGAGGGTGACTGAGCAGCCCATGCACATCTGAGATCTGTGCGGTCCAGAACAGGGAAAGAAAGCCCAGAGCTGGGGAGAGGCCCATCCAACCGAGACCCAGGCTCGCCGCCGGAGACATACCATTGGCCAGGCTGGCATGTGCACTATCTGCAGCCTTGGACGCTGCCACACCGTCTGCTGCTGCAGGGGTGGGAGGGATGGAAAATGCAGTGCGTCACAATGGAGAAAAGCAACAACAGTGAAGACATGAACCAACTTGTGGGGAAATAACATGACTCTATTCTTAAAAAAAAGTAAATTCTTCGTTGGAAATCGAGAAACTCAAATTTGGGGGTGAAATGTTCCCAGAGAGATGCAGACATTGAAGGGAAGAACTCAGACATGGAGGGTCTTTGAAATAAAACATGGAGGACGACCAGGGCGACTGGGGGGATGGCACTGCTCTGTGGTGAGGTGTGGACCCTGTCGGCCCGGCCGGTCAGGCGGGTCCCCCTTCAGGGAGGGTTCCACGGGGGAGAGGATCTGACTGCCCACCGGGGCCAGAGGGACTCATGGCTAGGAGTCAGTTCAAAATATTCAATGTACCGTGGGGTGTGGGCACCAACCACTCAGGATGGGTATCTGCTATGACCTCAGTGACCGTGTGCCAGGTGCTCCCGCAGGGCATCTGCCCATGGCTGTGACTTAAACAGATTCACGCCTCTGACTCAGGCCACTGCCCATGCCAAAGATTGCCTTGTTAACGTCCACAGGAGATGTCCCGCCACTTAAAAGGTGACATCAAGCATGTCACATTTTGTACACGAGACAGAAAAGGCACTAGTGAATTTATCTTAATTTAGAAATTAAAAGTGATATGAAATGGCCAAATTCACCCCTGGTGCTTTTTTTGTGGGGTGGGGAACAGGGTTTTATGGGGAGGAGAAGGAAGAGGCCCTGTTGGGTGAGACACACTATTGGGCGAGGTGGACATGGGCTCTGTAGGGTGCTGGTGGGAGGAGCAGGGCCGGGCACTATGGTGGTGCCAAGGGGCATTGGCCCGGAGGGTGAGGCAACATATGGGCAAGAGGGCAGAGTGGGGTGTTGGCTCATCCCATGGGGCTGGCATCACATGAGGAAACAGAGGAGTGTCTTTGGGGGAGGCTTCAGCAGGCACGTGCCTTCCCCAGCTGCGTGCTGGTGGTCTGGGGCCAGGGCCCAGTGGCCAAAGGCTGCTGCTATTTCTAAAAGCCCGCCTACCCCGAGGGGTGTCTTACTGTACCTGGTAGCTGAAGGCCATCCCCCTTCTTCACACCTGTGTGATGATTTTTGAGACATGTTAATGAAGGAGAAGCACACGCAGCCCCATCTGCACACATGAGCACACACACATACATGCACACACGTGTGTGTGTGGGCACACACAGCCACACACCTGGGCTCATCGTGAAATGGGAACATGTGGTTGGTGGGCTCTAAGGAGAGTCCTTAGATGAGGTGATAGGACGGGAGAGCAGAGAGGCCCAGCCCTGGCCGCGCAGCTCACTGTGGACTGAGATGCTGGGCTGTCCCTAGGCTTCCTCTGCCACGTCCCTTCCACATACCATCCCTTCTCTCTACATGAGGCCAATTCTTCCGACACCCCATCTTGCTGGGGTGCAGGTGTATGTCAGCAAAGGACCCCAACCCACGCTTCTGGGCCAGTTGAGGCCTGTCTTCCTAGAGGCATTTTTAAAAACACATGCCTAGCCTGTGGAAGGGTCTGAGTGTGTCTGCCCCTCACCCAAGCCCGACTGAGGACAAGGAAATGGGTACAGGCTGCTGCATCCTGTCCAAGTGCTCAAATCTGCCCACCTGCCAGCACTCTGGGGCAGGGCCTGCCCACCCTGGCCACAGGTTCCAACTCAGTGCATTGACGCTATCGTGATGCCCTCCAGGTCTCTTGGCCAGGACTCTCTCCTCAGTTTCAACCTCAGCACCCCTTTCTCTCTCCAGCCTCTTGATTTCCCAGACCACAGCCAGCTCCATTGTTCCTGCTGGTGGGGTAGCCACAATCTTAGGGAGAACCATTAAAAACAGTTTTTGCCTTCAGGAACAAGTCACCTTCAATCCTGACCCAGGCTCTCTACCTGATTGGCTTCTGAGAGCTGGAGGTGGCAGGGCTGCCCCAGAAACTCAGGGAGGGGCCTTCTGCCCTGCCATCTCCCTTCTCCCAGCATTCTAATTCCAGAAGTTCTAGATGTTGCGGATGCTCCCCTGGAGCTTGGGGAAGGAGACAAAAGACTGAAAATGTGAAAAGGGGCTGTCCTTGAGGCAAAGTGTAGGTGTCAGATGAGGAGTGGGCTGTGCTGGGGCCAGAAGCCTGGGCCTTTGGAGGTGGGCCTGGCCTGATGGTATTTGAGCTTCTTGTGTGAGCATCCCTCCCTGTTCTCAGAGGCACTTTTAGCCTGGGCTGCTGGCCTGCTGCACTGAGGGGAAAATGGTGAATAAGGAATCTTACTTCCGAGGGGGAGGAAGAACCAGAACCCAGGCAAGGTGGCCACTGCAGGGACACTGGAGAAGGAACTCATAGTGGCTGAGTTGGAGCCATCTGTTTGGCCAACTTCCCTACCAGCCTCCTCTGTTCACGTCTTGGACAAGTCTCTGCTGGGTGGATCTTCAGCTCTGCTCAGTGGAGTTGATGACAGTGTAAGGAATATGCTTGGGTAGGGATTTGTACTCAATATTGGGGTGTTGATGGGACCAGTTCATGCTGGCTGTTTCTACCACCTGAGGCTGGTGACCCAACAATGTGGTCAGCATGCATGGCCTGGCCCAGAGGGGAAGGAGGGGCCTCCATGACATGATTGGACAAGACAGAGACTGGGACAAGACCCTGGAGATGGAACAGACAGAGCCCACCTGGCCCTAGCAGGGCCTTGAGGATGCAGGAGGTGATTGTCAGCACAGGGTGTGGACACAGAAGGCACTCAATAACTATTTTGTTGAGTGAATGAATAAACCAAAAAAAAAAAAAAAAAAAGTGGTCTTAAGAGCTCCTCTCCTGGTCTGCAAAGGGGTTGCACTTACCTTTTTTGTCTTTCTTTTCTTCCTCTTCACCGCCGGCCCCAAGCAGGGTAAAGATGATGCCAGTCTGAGAGTTCACACCCACGGCGGTCACCAACATCCGTCCTGAGCCCTCCATCACATGGGTCCCTGAGCAATAGGACAAAAGCCAAGTTAACCATTGCATGGCTGAAGCCCCCTCCCCAAAGGAGTAGAAGAAATGAGGTCTCAGTCAGCTCCTTGCTCTTCTTCTGCTGAGGTCATGGGGCACTGGCTATGGTTATGTTTCACACTGTGTGTGTGTGGTGGATCCTTTTAAGAAGATTTCCCCTAGGACAGTGATGGGATGGGCTTGGGGCTGAAACGCTGCTATCCCTCCTCACTTCTCAGGCCCCCAAACAGTTCCAGGCCCACCACCTACTACCCTGCCCTGGATGATCACATCCTCCCTCTGCCTCATTCTCCCCCCTCCTCTCCCGCCCTTAGAGGCCAAGCAGGGACCACTCTCTCTTTTCTTTATTGACAGTCTTTAGAACCAGATCTCATCCTGCCTAATTTTGCAATCAGTAAAGAAATGCCAACTAAGCCCTGGACAGAACTGCTTAAAATGGGGTCCCCAGCAACCCCCCACCAAAGATCTGTGGAAAGAATTCAGGGGTCTGTGAACTTAGACAAGAAAAAAATTACGCCTTTATTTTCACAAACCTATAACTGAAACTTAGCATCTCTCCTATTACAAATGTAGGCAACAAACCCAGGAGTCTCACTGGCGCCCACAATGCCATGCATACATTATGAAAACCACAGACTTCCTCATCTCACTTTACAGCTGTTGCAGAATTGTTGATGTTCATCCCTATGTTACTACTAAGGTGGATCTTGTTATTTAATATACTAATAAAGAAGCAATACATCACCACACTTTATTTTTTACTACTCAAATTATGTTAATGTAATTGGTTTTGCCTGCATTCCAATAGATTTTATTTTATGCACTTCAAAGCGTTATTCTGAATAGGGATGACACATGATGATACCAGACTTCCCCAGGGGTCCATGCTGCAAGAAAGGTTAGAACTCCTTTGCTAGAATTTTAGATTTCTCAAACTGGGTTCCAAAGGGCCCTTCAGCCCCTAGAAAGAATTCCAGGGGCTGGAAGGGCAGCTGTGGGGGGCAAAGGAGGCCTTTGGTAGAGTGATTCTACTTTTATTTGTTTCATCTTTGGGGGTTTTGGCATCAGCTCTTGTTTGACATGAGAGTCTCGCTGTTGCTTGAAGATGGGCCCCTCCACCACGCAGGCTCACAGAGCGACTTACCCGAGAGCGTGCAGAGTGCTTGTGGCCTAGTGAGGATAAGACGCAAAGGGAAAAAATGAGGTCTATGTACTCAATGGGATATTATTCAGCCTTAAAGAGGAAGGAGATTCTGGCACCTGCTGCAACATGGACGAAGCAAGAGGACATTGTAACAACTGAAATAAGCCCCCCACAAAAGGACCGTCGATACCATGCGATTCCACTCCCATGAGGTCCCCACGGTAATCGAGTTCACAGAGACAGAGAGGAGAATGGCGGGTGCCAGGGCTGGGCGAGGGGGAACGGGAGTTAGTGTTTGATGGGCAGAGTTTCAGGTGGGGAAGATGACAAAGTCCTGGGGATGGTGGTGGCGACGGCTGCGCCGCAGGGTGGACGCACTGCCAGAGCCAGGTGCATGCAGCTGCTGTCCACCGCCCTCCTGGCCTGCGTGTGCTGCCTGCGCCGGGCTCAGGGCACACCCCAGGGAGGTGCCCAGGCCTGCCGCAGCCCCTACTTAGTGACGAGTTTGAATTAGTGATGTTCGGCTCTTCAGGCGCCCGTTTATTTTATTTCATTTCACTTTTTACCACTTTGGGTGGAAGGCTCTCTACAACGCAGCACGCGGCTCCTTCTCAAATGAAGCAAGCATCCCGTCCCGGCCTAGCGCAGCGTCTCAGGCCGCCTCGCACAGCGCAGTAAGCACCACAGCAGGGTGGCCAGACGGTGTCCCGGGGGCCCCAGCAGCCACGATCCTGACGCCCGACGCTCTAGGACTTGCTTCTGGAACCCGCTCCTGCTTTTTAGAGTTTTCCCTTCTTTCCCTCGGGACTGGCTGCCACTTCTCCCTGTTTTCAGCAGAATTTGTCTCTAACAATCTTCTCATTGTTTCCCAGTTTGCTTCAGATTTGAAGTCTAGGGAAGCAAACTCATTCGAATGGCGGCTAGAGCAGGAGTCCAGGGGTTCTGAGTCAGGACCCGGAGTGCTCTGCCTAAGCGAGGAGTCTGCCTTCACTTTCCAAGTGGTGTCGCCCACGCTGGCGTTTCCTTCTAGGGTCTGCGTGACAGCTCGGTGCTGTGTGTGCACACGCGTGCCTGCATGTGCGTGAGCGTGTGGTGCTCCGGCCCCTTGACTTCCAGGATCTCCGGATCTTCAAGTGCTTTGCAGACAGACAGATACTCTCCAGGGAGCTCCTCTAAGGCAGGCGAGCGTCAGCCTGTCCACGCACAGATGCAGAAACTGAGTCCTGAAGGCTCACAGAGTGGGCAGGACGCTCAGCAGCGGGAATAGAACCGGATTCTCAGACGGTGAGCTCTTTGGCCATTCCTGGTACACAAGGACAGTTCTCTTTTGCCCCTGGCCAGAGTGCAGTGGGGGCCACAGAATGAGCTCAGACACGGGCTCCTGGCTGGGCAGCCCAGGCCTGGCGACCTCTCCTGGAGCCCACCCACCCCTGCCCTGAGCCCCGGTCACCGGAACACTGGTCATTATGGTAACTTGTGGACAAGACGCTGTCTCGGGCACCAGCTTGGCTTGCGTCGGGGCCTGGAGGAGGGGTTGTGAAAGGTCAGCATTAGACAGATGAGGAAACCGAGGTCACATGGGGCTGGGGGTTGCTGGAGACTCTTCCAAGGAGAGGAAGGGACACACTTCGCGCATTCACGGAGCGCAGAAAGCAGTAACCGCCACCCGAGCTAACTTCCACAGGACACTTGCTGTGCGCAGGGCGTGTGCTGCCCTCCACGCGATGATCTCATTTAGTCCCCACACCAGAGGAAACTGAGGCTCTATGGAAGATGTGGCTTGCCCAGGGTCACCCGCTGGTGAGGGGCAGAGCCAGGGCTGGAACTCTGCTATCCCTCGAGCCTATTATCTTTGTCACGTTCCCCTTGCCCCCAGGAGACAAGGTCTCAAACACATCAGTGAAAAGGTCTGCTGCAAAGTGAAGGTGTTGGTTCTCTTGTCCGGGTGGCAACGGAGAGGCCGCTCCCTGTCCCCCAAGGTTAGACAGGATGGAAAAAGACACAGGGGCCAGTTTCCGCCCAAGAGAATCAGACCCCAAATCACCTGCTGATCTAATCACTCCCATCGCAGCGGGAACTGCAGCTCAGCACCGCATCTGGGGCAGGGAGGAGGGAGGGGGAGGCCAGGGAGGTGCCCTCTGGCCACAGCCTTGGAGAAGCCCCAGGGGTCCTCTGGGCCCCACCTGGCCAGGGGCAGGGGAGGTGCAGGCACCGACCTCCTCCTCTGTTCCCCAGTGGCCCCCCAGCACAGACACTCTCCCCCCGGTCCAAACGACTCAGGCAGTGCCCCCTAGATCAGACCCCAGTCTTCTTCTGGCCCTCGGCCATGGATTCCTGCCACGCGCCTCTGCCCCGGCGCACGCACAGCTCCCGCGGCCTTTGTGTCTCGTCCCCGGGCCTGTGCTCACACGGTCACCACCGCCTGAGTGCCCTTCTCTCACCTCTGGTCCAGAGCCCCCTCTTCAAGGCCCAGGGCAAATGCCTTTCCCCTTAGGTGGCCCCTGCCTCCCACAAGGGGACTTCATCTGTCTCCCCTGAACCACCCCCACAGTCTTCCCTGGGGGTACCTCCCAGCCGGGCTCCCCGAGACGTGAGCCCCTTGAGGGCAGGGTCTGAGTGCGAGTCTCCTCTCGGCCTCCCCCAGCAGAATTTGGCTTGGAGCTGCAACTCCAGCACCCTTTTTCCTGTTACCTTCTTATTTGTGCTTTCCATGGGGGGCACGTACTACATTTATAACGGAGGACACCCAGCCACTTCCCCAGTAAATCATCTGTGTAGACAAAGGGTCACGTTCCTCCCAGCTGTGTGCCCTCCTCCTCCCCACCTCTGGGCCCAGCCGTCTCCTTGACCAGGCCCTGAGCACTGGCCGCCCCTCCTGCAGGGGAACGCTCTGAGGGACCAGGCGGTCCCTGCTGCTGCCCTACGCAGCCCCAGGAGGCCCTCGCAGAGGGGATGCTGACACCAGGGACCAAGGCACTGGTGGTGGAGCAGCAGGCATTGCAGTCAAGGACAGGGGCTCATCTCCCAGAGGAAGCCACAGGAGTCTGGGTGGGGCAGAAGCGAGGACCCTTTGGGTGGGGAGGCCTGGCAGGGCCTTGCACCAGGCCTCACTGGCCACTGTCCCTTGGACACAACTCTCTAGGCCTCCCCTCCTCCAACCACCCATGGCTCCTCGGAATACCTGGGCTGGGGTGTGGATGGAGAGCCCTGGGCTGGGAACGATCTGGAATCTGATTCTGATTTGCTGTGTGACCCTAGGCCAGCCCTCTCCTCTCTGGTCCTCAGTGTCATCCTCTGTAAAATGGGGAGGGAGCTGGCTTAGGTCACTACCTCTCAGCAATGGTGTCCGGACACTCTGTGTCCCAGGGAGACCAGGGCACGTCCTGGGTGGGGTAGGGAAGCTACATCTCAGGAAGAAAAGGGTTTGGATGGGCCAGCAGAGGACAGACCCCTGTCTGTGTGGACAGACTGACCAGATGGCCCTCCCCCTGCCCCACCACCCAGGCCGCAGTCCTTCATTTGATGGATAGACATCATGGGGTGTTGACTCCAAGCCAGGTTCTGGGGCTGCATGAGGGTTCCCTGTGAACCCCAGCACCCGGTCTAGTTGGGGTTAAGGGGAGCAGACAGGCACACAGATCAGCAGCATGAACAAAACCAACCCACCATGCACGGTGGCTCATGCCTATAATCCCAGCACTCTGGGAGGCCGAGGCGGGAGGATCGCTTGAGCTCAGGAGTTCAAGACCAGCCTGAGCAAGAGCGAGACCCATCTCTACAAAAGATAGAAAAATTAGCTAGGCGTGGTGGCGCATGTCTGTAGTTCCAGCTACT